ACGCCTTTAATCCCAAGAAGTGAACCTTTAATCACAGGAAGTGAGGACAGAAGGCAGAAAGGTATTGAAGGTGTGAAGACCAGAAACTAGAAGCTTTTGCCTGGTTAAGCATTCAGGCTTTCGAGAAGCAGTTCAGCTGAGATTCATTTGGATAAGGACTCAGAGGCTTCCAATCTAAGGAAACAGGATCAGCTGAGGAACTGGCAAGGTGAGGTAGCTGTGGCTTGTTCTGCTTCTCTGATCTTCCAGCATTCACCCCAATACCTGGCTCCAGGTTTGATTTTATTAATAAGACCATTTAAGATTCCTGCTACAGGATCCTCCGCATAAATCACTAATTAAGAAAATGAATTACAGATTTGCCAATAGGCCAGTATTATGGAGGCATTTTATCAATTGAGAGTCTATCTTATGTTAAATTGACATAAAACTATCCAGCACACTAACTGCTGTCTCCAGTTAGTTATCCATGGTTTCCTTTTGCTTTTTCAGTAGGTTTACAACTGTTGATTTGAATCATTTTTCTGGTAAATCCAAAGCCTGTTGTTCAGGACAGTGTATAAGCTATTTTCCTCATTGCTTTGATAAAAATACCTAACAAAAGTGACTTAAGGAAATAAGAGTTTATTAGAAGGAATACTGTCCAGCATGATGAGGGAGACCTGCTGCAAGAGCATAGTGTGCTTGGTTACATCGCACCAGCAGTTAGAAAGCAGAGAGAAGAGAGGAACTGAGACTGAGCTATAGAACCTCAAGCCTAAACTCTGACCCACTTCCTCTAGCAAGAGTATGCCTAAAAGTTTCACAACTTTCTCAAATAGCACCTCCATCTGGAGACTAAATATTCAGGCATTTGAGACTATAAAGGATGTTTCACAAAACACATTTATTGTTTCTTCTCTTCTCCTCTTCTTCCTCCTTCCTTTCTTTCAGTGAGATGTACTTTCTAACATACTTTGTATGTTAAAAGTGGGAAATTTAGAATGCCACAAAGTGGTGACTCTAAAAATCAGATGCCCTTCTTCCCAGGATCTGATTTTGTTTGTTATAATTAGTGATTGAGCAAATCATGATACTGCCATCACATAAGATAGCAAGGTTATAGTTAAGACAACAATTATGAAAACAATACAGCTGTAAAATTTTTAGGATTACATTCAATAAAGGTCATATGGGGCTGGAGAGATTGCTTAACAGTTAAGAGTATATACTCTTAAATATGTCCTAAGTTCAGTTCTCAGCATTCATATGGATGGCTCACAACTGCCTATAACTGCTCCAGGGAATCTGATGTCTTCTTTTTGTCTCCAAAAGTATACACACACTAATAATAATAATAATAACAATAATAATAATAATAAATTATTATTATTATTATTCAGGCCAGCCTGATCTACACAGAAAGTTCCAAGACAGCCAGAACTACATAGTGAGATGCTGCTATATAAATAAATAAATAAATAAATAGGAAAGTAATCTTTAAAAATGATGTTTTTTTTTAAAAAGGAACTCACATACAAAACTATAAGATCCACTAATGCTAGTACTGAATAAAAACTAAAATAGAAAGCTAACAATCGATTATGAAAAATGATAGTTATTATGATGATGATATAAGGTTTTCCCTTAATATTCTCAAGTTTCCTTTAATATGATTTTTTGTTTTTAAAATTGGACATTTTAATTTTGTATTTAGGAAATAATAGATGATCATGTACAGATTCAAAATAGAGATTACAGAAGTGTAAAATAAGCTCACAATAAGACTTTTGCTATGACTTAAACCTCAGGCAACAGAGGAAGCAAGTTCTTATGAAATCTTCAAGACACTGCATATGTAAGTTTTACTTTTATTGATTGATTAATTTTTTGCTTTGAGACAGTCTCATATATCCTAGGTTGACTTCAAATTCACTAACTAGTTGGGGTTGAATTTGAATTTCTGATCCTCTTGCCTCCACTTCCCTGAGTTCTGGTATTACAGGCATTCCCTGTGGGAGAATGCTTGTCTCTCATTAGATGCAGATTTTAAAAGGTAATTTGTTATAATAAAAATTTAAATATAATAAATTAAAAAGCAGTACAAAGTCCTATATAACCTTCACTGAGATAGCTCAATTATTTCACAAATGTGTGAAACTGTTCAATTGTTAATTTCTTAAATCTGTGTGATGTGACTGTCTGTGTATGTCCCACCATTATCATTTGGGCTTTTTATGAACTAATTGAAAGCAAGCTGTAAACATTATGTATTATTTCCAAATATTTAGGTGTGATAGTTTTAAAAACAAGAACACTCTTGAACCCACAACACTGTCAAGCAGGAGGTCAATTTTAAGAATGATTCAGTTTGTTATCGGCATATACAATAAGAGGAGGCAAGGATTTCAACTTCCTATATCCTTTTCTCAAACACCAGTCAGGGAAATACTGACATAAGAAAGCCTGAATGAATGCTGCACCAGTTTTGAGATACTTTCTTGTTGAAGTATCCCTTTAAGAATATAGCTAGCAGTGTTCTTTTGTATCGTATGCTGAGTAGAGCCAAGCAGAAAGCCTCAATCTCTTAAGAGTCCAGAAAATGAGAAACTGTCTCATGGCAGCATCCCAGAAGAGATAAGGTTAGAAAAATGTGTCCTTGAAGCAATACCTCACAAACCTAACATTGTCTTGCTTTCCAGGAGTAGAAGACATTCTATAAAGACTAGAGTTACAACTCAGCTTATGTATGCATGGACACATGCTTGCAAGGTCATAGGGCAGCCATATCAGGTCCATTTTCTATGCCCTTGGTTTTCAAATATTGAGCTATAAAGTCTCAGGAATATGGGGGCACTCCATCAAATATAGTCTAGTAAATTCTACTTATAGGAAATCTACCAAATATATTGTTTTAGGCAACAGAACAAGAATGACAGTCACTATGACTCTTTAAGTATTGTAATCAGTTGAAGGATACACTTGGGTCAGGCTCCCCAACTGGAGTCAAACCAGTTCAATATTTCATTAATGCAGACAAAATAAGAAATATTGAAAGTTGCACATTTTACTTTGACAGAAAGTATTTTGTAGAATCACATTTATATATCAAACTGACTATCATACATATATGATATACTGGAATATGAGTCTTTGTTATCCAAGGAGAAAACTCACAAAAAGAGGGATACTTATATGCTTAGTGCAGTCTCCTCCTATAATGTTAACTCCATAGAGAATGAAACTTGATAGTCATCCTGCTGTCAAATGGCAGAATTCACTATGGGCTACTGTCCATGAGGCAGAGAAAATGAAATAAAGGTGCATTTGATGGTGCTAGTGGGTGTGGTCATATGAGGTAAGTACTGCAATAATCCCACCCAGCTAACAGAGTTACTTTTTGCATAGGCTGCTACAACTGTGCAGCCTAGTACTGAAAAAAGATTACTGGATTATGGAGACTATATCCTAGTGTAACACTTACTTAAAGAAGACAATTTAGATTTTAAATATGACCATTCTCTGAAAATATACCTCTCAATTACATAAACTATTTAATCATGTTGAGAGAGGGTTACATACCCAATGTTCTTAAGTAAGCTAAGCTATCTTTAAACCAGGCCCAAGTATGTGTAGAAACATCAATGTAACAAAGTCCCCAGGAAAGAGAAGGGGGCGATAAAGATCATGTTACAAAAGTGCTGATAGAAACAGGAATGCCAAAATCTATGACTTCATGCTAACTAGTTTTCTTAAGCACTCCCGTTTTTATTAGCTTCATCAGCAGAGTGGGGCCTATTTCTCCAGCATCTAAAACTACTTTTCAGACATCACATAGCTGGCCATGAGGATCTCCCTTTGAGAATATAACATTCATTAAGTACATTTAGCATAAGCACAAGGGTATAAAGGATATTTCCCACACAAAAGTATACTAAAGAGGAGTTTCAAAGACCTCAATTTTATGTATAGAGTGAGCAAATGACACTGAAATAGCAATATTGAAACATGAAAAAGTCTTAATCACAGTGAGGCACCACCAGTAGTCCAAGAACTCAAAAGCATGATAAAGCTTCATTCTTCTAAAATAAATGACCCAATCTGGCAAAAGTTTTATCTTCTTTTTAAACCAAGTAAATTTTTTTCCTCTTGTGAAAAAGAGTCACTTTTCTTTGAAGCACAAAACATTTACCCTACTGTTTTAGGAAATGTTCCTTGGCAAGTAGCCACCCCAATTTTGTTGGGGCTTAGTTATTAGGTAGTGGCAACTATAATCATTAAGATTAAGACAGTAGGCAAAACTTTGTCATTACAGTGAAAATATTAACATCAGAGGTAAACTCTAACACTGTATGAGTACAGGTAACACTTAAAATGTTGATCTAATTTTAAAACAACTTTTACTGCAAGTTTTTCCAAACAGTGTAAGGACTTCTTAAAACAAACAAACAAACAAAAACTAAGACAGGATCTCATTCTGTAGTTCCGGCTGGCCTCAACAATAATCCCTCTACATCAGTTTTCTGAATGCTGGGATTACAGACATCAGCAAGTACATTCAGTTCTAAAAGGACTTGAGCTTTTCCAGCTCCCCCTCCCCTTCAGTGTTGACAGTTGAACATAAGATTGCTCTCTCTCTCTCTTTCATTTCTTGATTCTGTGAGGAATAGCATAGGACCTTTGATAGAGATTTTGTTGAATCCTATGGACCACTTTCAAAGACACAGCCATCTTCACAATATTAATTCTGACAATACACAAGCATGAGAAGTCTTTTCATCTTCTACTTTTGTCTTCAATTTCTTTCCTCAGTGACAAAATTTTCATCATGTTTTACCTCCTGGTTTATGTTTATATTTCTTACTTATTCATTTTTTGTATATTGAATGAGATTTTTCCAGACTGACTTCATTCTCAACAGGTTCATCAAAGGTATATGAATAACTACTGATTTTTGTGTGTTCATTTTGTGTTAGGGTTTCCATTGCAGTGAAAAAAAATTCCATGACCAAAATTAGCTTGGGAAGTAAGGGTTTATTTCATCTACAAATTCCAAGCCATACTCCATCACTGGGGGATGTCAGGACAGGAACTCAAGGCAGGAACCTAGATTCAGGAACTGAGGCAGAAACCATGGCAGAACACTGCTTACTGGTTTGCTCCTCATGGTTTGTTCAGCCTGCTTTCTTATACTATCAAGGACCACCCTCCAAAGGGTGGCACTATCTCCTGTGGGATGAGCCCACCAACATCAACCATTAATTAAGAAAATGCCCCACAGCCTTACCCACTGGTCAATCTGGTAGGGGCATTTTCTTGATTGAGGATTCCTTCCTAAATGATCCTATCTCATGTCAAGCTGACATAAAACAATCCAGCATATTTTGTGCCCTACTACTTTGCAGAAAATATTTATTGGTTCTAAGAGTTTTGCAGTGATGTACTTAGGGTTTTTGAAAAATGGAATCATGTTATCTGCAAATATGAATAATTTCATTTTTCCTATTTGTATTCTTTTTATTCTCTTATCTTACAGCTTTAGCTAAGACTTTAACTGTTATATTGAATAACAGTGAAGAGTGAGCACCCTTGTTTTATTCCTTACTTTAGCAGAAGTGCTTTTGGTTTTCAACATTAATATCATGGTGGCTATAGGCTTATTGTATAAAGCCTTTACCATGTCAAATTATGTTCACTCTATTCCCAGTTCCTTCAGGGAATTTTATCATGAGTAGTTATTGAAGGTTTTTTTTTTGATATTGAACTTTTTAAAAAGCATTTTATGCATCTATTGAAATGATCAGGTGATCCTTAAGCAAACAAGCAACCCCCAAATACTAATAGGGGAGAAAGAAAACAACAAACAATCCAATCAACCAGAAATCAATGAACAAAATTGCAAAAATGAGTCTTCATCTTCCTGGAAGCTCAAGGTCAGTCCCTGGAATGTAAAGGTAAAAGGAGACAGCCATTTTTATAAAGTTGTTCTCTGACCTTCACACATGAATTGTGACATGTGTACCCACAGTCATCATGTACACTCATACATACACAGTAAATAAAGAGTTTGAAAAATAAACCAATAAGCAAAGTCATAGTACTACAAGAGTATAGTAGAATGGAAAAAAAAAGGTACGAAGCACAGAGGTCAGAAAGGAAAAAGGGAAAGAAAAACATTGTTCAATAATGAAAAATATGTGCAAACAAAATAAGATGAATATGAAAGGGTACAATTTGGGGAGTATTAGGCAGGTGGTATCAGCTGAACATGTGATCTTTTATCATTCCTGTGGTTTTTTGCTCCTATTAAAATTATATTGGACTTTCTTAATATTTGAAAACAGTTTTTTCATTTTAGTAGCATTTCTTTGTTGTATAATAGGGTTCTTGGCTGGCCACTCTTAACTTTACAATTTGTGGGCTGGACAGGTTCTTCCACCTGCCCAATACTCCTCAGATTGTAATTTCTGGAATGACTAATTTTCTACCTAGAGAATGTCTCTCAAGTTTGTTAGAAGTATAGGAAACAGGTACAGCACTAAGATCTGTTACAGGGAGAAAGATATGTCTTTGTGCTTTTAAGACTCCCTACATCTCACCCTGATGAAGGGATGTAGCCATGAATTTCAAGTAGACCCCTGGAGCTTCTGAATTCTCAGACTCTATAGCAGTGAATGGCGGTATGTGGTCCTAGAAGTTGTTTTATCCACTCACCTGCACCTCAGAACTATCATACTCCAAGGTTATTCACAGGTGAGGTCTGTTCTTGGCCACTGAGGGGGAAGATACTTTTTCCTATGAAATTTACTGAGATGAGAGCTTCTTGTCCTTTTTGACTTGTTAGTATCCAGACATTCCACTCCATGCAACTGCCTCCAAAAGCTGTCTCTCTCTCTGGAGCTGAGGCATGTTAAATTTAGGATCCCTGGTTTGTGGTTGCTTCCTGTTCTCTTGCCCACAGGGTAGCTCAGTTTTTAAGTTTTCTTAAGATAGCACTAGGCTACTGCTCTGAAGTCTTACCAAGTGGCAAAATAGCTTTCCTCTCTACTGCTGACCCATCCAACAGAGGAATCACTGTCTCACCAAACCTACAACAGTATTTGAGGTTTGCAAGGGCTATATAGGAGTGTTCTGAAGGGAGAACTACCCATCTATTTTCCTCAATGTGACCTAGATTACCTGTTGAAGGAGGCTTCTGCTTCTCTTCCCCCTGTCAGAGTAATGAGGTGGAGCTGCATTCAGCTTGGCTTCTTTCCAGTGCAACACCCATCTCCTTTCCAATTTTTAAGATTGCTAACTTTGTGGATTTCTAAAGCCGTTCCTCTTGTTGAAATAGTTATTTTATTTTATTCTCACTCATCTTCATTAGGTCACACAGCTACTATTCTGTTATTTTTCCAGAAGACTCGTTATACACTTTTATTCTATGTAAGTATCAAGTGGTATTTGTCCACTTTTGAATTGGGTTGCTTTTTTGCAGTTGTTGTCTGAGCTCTTTATATATTCTGGACACTAGATTCTTAGATATGTTGTTTATAAATGTTTTGGCCTATTTTCCGAGTTTTCATTTTTTTAATGTTTTTGATGTACATTTCTAAATTTTTATCAGGTCTAACAACTATCTTTTTGTGTTTTTTTTCTAAAATGCCATTGCTAAAACCAAAGTAATAAAGATGTTCTAATATTTTAATAGTCACAAATTTTTACATTTAAATCTTTAATACATTTTAATTAACACTCATACATGATATGGGGTAGGGGTTCACCTTCATTATTCTGTGCAGATATTTAGTTGACAAGTCACCAGCTGTTGAAAGGACTATGGTTTCCCCCATTCAACTATCTTAGTACTTTTGTTAAAAAATCAGTTTATCATATACATATGCATTCATTTCTGGAGTCAATTCGATTCACTGTTAGTGGAGAACAGTATTTGAAGTCTAGCATCTTGGTAGCAGGTGTGCTCATTAGCTACTGAAGTACCATTTCTATTCCCTCTTAATGGGCAGAGGTAAGAACTGGAGGTATACAAATAAAATGATCATTCTCTTAATCGATACACATAATTCCCTTTTAAAACAATCATGTTAACTTTCTATTTCCATTTAACATCATGGGGGGTAATTTTATCTTTCCTTTTTACATATCTGTAAAGAAGTCTCAAGCATGAAAAAACTAGCTCCAATATTCCTCAATGCCTTTACTTATTTGCTCAATCGTTTTATTTAATGCAAGGGATCATTGTCTCTGCTTCACTGTGAGGGTACTGACACAGGACAACTTTCACTAAATCTTGTTCTTGCCCTGTTGCTACAAGGCTAAGAACTCTTATGCCTTCATAAAGTAACTCCAGACACTAGGCACCATGATACCCCATCTGCCCATTTCTCCTCACACATACCTATTCTATACATTCCAACTCTAATTAATTATTTTAAAAAATCCAAATTGCTATAATTCTGTAACAGTGCAAACAGTTTAAAAGGTGACAAAAATGTTGAGGTTGCCTGTTTGAATTCCAATTTGGGCACATGTATGCTTCCCTTCACTAAGGTAAGAAATATAAAAGAATATAGGTTGGGCCAGAAACATGTTAAAATTTAGATTTATCAAATTCAATGTGGTAATAAGACTGCCTAGTGGATATATATAATGGGCAGTTAGAAATCTAAGTCTGGAGTTCAGAGATGTAGAGAGAGAAATGGATTTGTTTGTAACTGCATGGAGAAGCTTATGAATGAGTTTTAGAAGGAACAGATAGGAAATAATAAAATAAATGATAACAAAGTGGTATATTTGGAAAAATGACTAACTGTGTCAAGCCAGAGATTTATTAATGGCAATTTTCAAAAAAAGAATGTAAGTTTGACTATGTGGAAGTTATTGGTGACTTTAGGAGGAATGGTTTGTCCTAGTAAGATCTTCAACTGTAGAACTTCAAAACCAATATTATGGTAATGGTATAATACTGCTAAGTAGGCTACAGACTTTATTCACTTCTACTAGATTTTACATGCATTGATTTTTCTATATATAAATCTATAAAATGCTAGCACAGGAACAGATTTGTGTACTAAACACTAAATTTAAGATATAAAACTGTTTCATCAGCCTAAATGAACTCTTATGTCACACTCCAATAATACTCCATATGCTATACAATGTCCAGTCCCTGACTCTGGAAATCTGTTCTTCCTTTTCATTAATTCTAACATTTCAACAATGCTATAGAAATACAACCATACAGTAAGTGACCTTTTTTTTTTTTGAGGGGGGGTGTGTTGAGACAGGGTTTCTTTGTGTAGCTTTGGAGCCTTTTCTAGAACTCACTCTGTAGCCCAGGCTGGCCTCAAACTCAGATCCGCCTGCCTCTGCCTCTTGTGCTGGGATTAAAGGTGTATGCCATCACTGCCTGGCAGTAAGTGACCTTTTAAGACTTGCTTTTCTTTCATTTACTATATGCCCCAAGGCTCATCTAAATTATACAGATATTAGCAATGTGTTCCTTTCCACTACAGAGTAGTATTCCATGGTAAGAATGGCTTATTTAGCCATCTACCCACTACAGAACATTTGGGTTGTTTCTAATTTGCAGTTACCACAGATAAAGCTGCCAAGAAAAATTTTGTAAAAGTTTTTGTGCAAAAACAGTGTGACTGCTGGGTCATGTTAAGTATATGCTTAACTTTATAAAAATTTCCAAACTCTTCTACCCAGTAGCTGTATTTTACAATCCTGTCATTGTGTGACAAATCTAGTCTACATCCTCAACAGTATTTGGCATTTTTACTATTTTCTCTTTAGCAATTCTGATAAGTATATACCATACCACACTGTAGTTTTAATTTGCACTTCCCAGTGACTTATGAGGGTTAATATATTTTCACATAATTACTTCTATTTGTCCTCTTTAGTGACAATGTTTATGTCTTCTTTTATTTTCTAATGGAATTGTTTATTTTTGAGTTTTGAGCATATCTTTTCCATTGATCAGATATTACATGGGTTGGAAGTAATTTCTTGCCTTTCCTCTTCTTAATACTTTGCAGAATAAAAAGTTTTAATTTTGATGAAGTCTAAATATTTACTTTTTTCTTGTAGACTGTGCTTTTGAGTTGAAGATTAAGTACCTGACTCCTGAAAATTTTTCTTGAATGATTTTTCTTAACGTTTTCCACCTTACATTTAAATACATGACACATTTTGAGGTACTTTTAGAATGTATTTTGTTGGCTTGTGGAAATTCAATTTGTTGAAATGACTGCCCTTTCTTCTTGATCACTTTGTACTTTTTCAAAATTAGTTAAGCATGTTATTGTGTGTTTATTTCTGAATTTTATTTCCTGTTCCATTGATTTATACATCTGTTCTTCTGCAAATATCATAGTATCTTGATTACTGCAGCTTCATAGTAAGTCTTGAAGTTATTTAAGTCTTGAAGTTATAAAATGTGGGTCCTCCAACTTTATATTTTTCAAAATTGATTTAGTTTAATAAATTGTATACCCGGTATTTTCAGCTGCCCTATAAAAAAGAAAATGAATAAAGAACAATTGTGGTGGAAGGAAATTAGAGAAAATACAGTATTTACATTTCATATTCCCTAAGAATATTTATTTTCAAATACAAGTATGCCTCAGAATCAGCAAAGTAGGTCATATAGATTTCTGGGTTTTAGCCTCAAAGATTGAATTTGAACTTTGAAATTCAACTGATTCTGGTGCAAGTGGTTCTGAGATTTTGAAAAACAACAATCTAGGCAAAAATGAGACAACCCAAAACCTCCAATTATTACTGTGGTTGGGACTGATACTGTTTTCTTTCTTTGTATTCTTTTTCCAATTCCCACTTCAGTTTCCAGGATGCAACAGGCTCAATTTTTTTTCTGAAGACACATATCAATTAGTGGCTACATATGAATGAATAATAAAATACAGTCATTATATTTTTTGAAGTATGATTTCTATTATAACCTAAATCCTAAAAAAAATCATGGTCATATTATAATTGAATTCTTAGACAGGGTCACTAAGAATTTGCTTTAGACTCAGATAAGCTAGAACTCAATTGTTTGCTTAAAAAAGGATCCACACAGATCCAAATTTATGTAATCTCATAATATGTATTTAGAGATCAAGAAGGAAATCCTGACACATGATTCTAATTGAGAATAATCAACAGATGTGAGTGCCAATGAGCCACCTGCACATCTTTCCCATTAATCCTACAGTACTTATGATTCACTTGCCTAGCAAAAACATCAAACTATAAAATAGAAATAGCAAGTGTTCTTCCTTTATCTTATTATATAGGATGGATATATCTGAAAATAAAAACCAAGGCTTCAAATTCTAAAAAGTTTATGTTGCTGCTGCACATCTTTAATCCCACCATTCAGGAAGCAGAGGCCAGTGGATTTCTGTGAGTTCCAGACCAGCCACAGCCACCTAATGAGACACTGTCTCAAAAAAAAAGTTTATGCTGGGTATTTTCATTGAGAATAAACATTTAATGCCAAGCATGGTAGGTGGTGCACGCCTTTAATCCCAGCACTACAGAGGCAGAGGCAGGTGGATCTCTGAGTTTGAGGGCAGCTTAGTGAGGTATGCATAGTGAGTTTCAGGGCAGCTAGGGATACACATTGACACTTTGCCTCAAAAAAAAAAAAAAGAGAGAATAAGTACTTTTAAGTTTTAAAATAAACTTATCAGACATTTTATTTCCAGATATTCCTTGCTAATGTACTTCCTATACCCCTTACAAAATAATTTTCATATTCTGCTTAAAAACTTTCATATTCCTGTAAAAGAAAACAGCAGCTACAGGTAAGAGGATTCTATAAACTCTGGGGAAATTTTAGGAACACAACTTGTATTTTTATATATATAAAACTATTTATTGGGATATAAAAAGTACTCCAGAATTATCTGTCTACATAGGAGTTATACATAGTTTTCAACGATATTCAGCACACAAACTGAAATATTACCACACTTTTGTCCTCTTGCTTTATTCTAGGGAAGACAGCTCCTCCATAAGCTCTTCCTTTTCTTGTTGCAACTCCTGCAAATGCTGCTGGTTTTGCTCCAATCTGTCCTCCAACCACTGTAGTAGAGGCCCACTGACTGCTGACATCTGGCTGCACAAATTCTTGGTAAACACTTCAATAGGAAAAGAAAAAAAACAGATAACTATGAGATAACTATGAAAACTACTACTCACTGGCATGCTCCTACTATACTACCAACAATACCTTAGTTTTGGGCACAGGAAAAAGGAATTGGAGAAACAAGTTTCTAAAGTATAATAAGTAGGACTGGTAAATGATTTTCAGTAGTCAACTAGAGGGAAAAGAGCTGAGCAAAGCAGATACATATTCTGAAGCCCTAGATCCATAAGCCAAATAGAAATCTAATTATGTAAAAAAATAAAATTAAATTTAAAAAAAAGGAGAAAAATGGCCAGCTCTTCATTTCTTCAAGTGAAAGGGCTAAGAAAGCACAGAAGAATTCCCTTTTCCAGCAGGACTCTACTGTCTCCTCAAATGGAAATAGAATTAAGCCTATGGAAGTTAAGCTTGTCTCTTTTGATCAGCACTAGAGTCTTGTGCCTAGAAAGCTATCTGGCAGAGAAAAGGTACTTAAAACTTTTTTTTTTGATGAATAAACAAATGAATGGATGCTATTTAGTAACTAACCTATCTATCACTAATTTAAAATTTTCTATTAAATATGAATTATTTCATATATAAGTGCCTGTCTCTAGGCACTGCCCAGGTACACTGATCAGTTTTTCTACTTTTGAGCTGTTACTACATTTTTTAAATCATTGTGATTTTAGAGTATGGTTGTATGCCATACATTACCAATCTTAACTCTTTGTCATGTTATATTGAGATAAAAATGATGGGATATACCAAGCCATGCTTCCTTTCTTGTCTTCACAAAGAAGTTTCCTACCAATCAGAAATCTTTCCACTGGTTGTTGTGGTGCATGCCTTTAAGCCCAGCACTTTAGAGGCAGAGGCAGGCAGATCACTGTGAATTTGAGAACAGGGTGGTCTACATAGTGAGTTCTGGGACAGCCCAGGCTACACAGAAAGACCCTGTCTCAAAATAACAAACAAACAAACAAACAAAATAGAAAAGAAAGCTTTCCACTGTTCTTCACCAGTGACTTAGTTTATAAATGTTTTGTTGTTGCTGTTTTTGTTTTAGTTTTACTTTTTTTAAAGTCAGGGTCTCACTCAGTAGCCAGGTTTTATTCCAGAACTCTCTGTGAAGACTAGGTTGGCCTCAAACTTATGGTAGTCCTCTTGCCTCTGCCCCCTAAGAGCTGGTACTATAGACATACAACACCACACCTTGATTAGTCATTAAATTGGGAAATCTGGGTTAGCTGAATAATAAGTGTAGCTAGGGATGTGTGTATGTTGAAAAAAGTAAATTGGTACGTATACTAATACAGAGTTTTTTGCTCCTTAGACTTACCCAGGAATTCCTCCTCTACTTATTCATATGGAAAACTTCCTGCCTCATGTATTCCCTTTCCTCTATCTGACTATCTCTTCCAACTCTTAATACAAAAGGTTGGTAGTAATGTGATAAAACCAGTTCATAATGGTACATTGCTAAAATTTCTGGAAGTTACTGAGCATCCATGCTATGGAATACTGCAGGAACTGGGGTTCCCTAAGAGGTAGTATTTAAACATATACGAGCACAACACTGAGCTAGTCTATAAAAAAGCTTTTCTGGTTTTCCTTCTGTCTTATCATAAAGCTACATTTATAGTATTTAAGGGTCTGTAGGGTTTCAAAGAAATGTAAGGAGCAAGATTAGTTAAATTTTTGAGAAGAAAACTCCAAAATAAACTAAAGTTGCTTCTATAAAATGAATATGTCAGAGATCACTTCATATACTCCAGAAAAAAAAAAAGCTTACCCGAGCCATTATGGATCTTGGTTACTGAGTCCAGATGTGTAAGGCTAAAGGGATAAGGTACTTTATGTTAGCAATGAAGCAGAATCAAAATGGTCAGGTGTTTAATAAAATTTAATAACCTACATCAGACCTTTGCCAATTGGATTAGATGAACACAATGATTTGAATTCCCACCATTGTTCATTTTAAATTTATTTTGGGGATATGGTTTTATTTAAAAATTCAAAAGATAATTCAAGACATAATTATGAAATTACTATCTCTCACTAAAGCTCTTGATACACTACACATTTAGTAGACAAGGCCCAGTACTACACAATGGGACCACTAGGATGTTGTGGTTTATTTTCACAACCAGAAAAAGAAATGTGTTTTGACTTGAAGGATCCAAAACATATGAGGCAAGATAGTAATGTCAAAGAGATCATTACAATATGGTGTGAGAAACATGATTTGAAGCTGCTGTGAAGCTCTCTCCCAGATAGGTAGAAGGAAAGGGGATTCAAGAGCTGAGCTGTTAGATAAAGGGTCTTCACTGAAGTTAACAAGAGAAACAATAAGAGTTGCTACCTGTGAATCCTTCTATATGCATCCTGTTCTTCCTGACACAGGATCTTTGGCAGCTCTACTGCTGATTCAAGGCATACCTTCCCAATAGTGATATGAGGTACAATATGGATTGGGATTTCAATTCTTTCATACCTGCAAGGCAACCAATTTAGGTCACATTTTATCCCTTAATTAGAATAAGTTCTCTTTAACTTTAACGACTTTGGAATATGGAGTGCTTCAAAGATTACATATTACTATAATTCATTAAGTTGCTCAATTTGACAGTGGAGAGAGTTCAAATTGGGCTTTAATGGAGAGCAAATTAGAAGTCTATTTGTACACTCATTCTCTAGTCCCTTAGTGAATTTGAATCCATTTCTGCAAATTTAACAGAAACGTTTAGGAATTCAAAATCAATATGACCAACTGTCCAAATAAAAGAAACAACTAACAATGCTTTTAGTCAATAAGTTGCATGAAGCTGAATAAACTGACTCCAATGCAGTGACTCTATCGGATGCATTTTGTAGATGGAATTATTCACATAAATAACTAGCACCCCTCAATTTTTGTTCTCTTCTATAGATAAAACTACATAAGATATTTATATATACTCCCATTCCATGATAGAATGGAAGGTACGGACAAGCTTGTTCTAAGTCCAATCAAGCCACCTGTATATATTTCTCACTCACAATATACCTAAACTCTACATTAACAGTGGGGTCAGTGGATGATCCAGTCTGGGAGCCTTCTACATTATGAAATCCATGGGTACATGGTAGTAAAGTAGAATAAGATCTAGTTCTCTGCTGCTTTCTCTTCCTACCCACCAAAGTGTCTTTGGGTCCTATATCATAACTTAGATGAAACATACATAATAGGAGATTACAAATATCCTTCACTTATCCATATTTACATAATCAGGAGAGAGTTAATGAAACAATATACAATAGTGGCCTTTGAAGAAGGCTACTTTGTGGGGGTAAAACACAGTGATTATTATTAATGATGAGTCCAGAAACACTAAAGAAGTCAGTCTGCTACTCTTAGTTCTCTTATCAAGGTTTCCAACTAAATTTGCTGGATGTATATGCATAAATGGTCCCAACAGTATACCATATTTGAACATACATTTCCTTAAATTCATTGAAGAAACTGCAGAGTTTCTGTTAGTTGACCAAAACTGAAATCCTAGAACCAAGGTAAACCATAGATATCTAAAGCTTATAACAGAGATTCTGCCTCTGATAATGAACTAGTTGTTCTAGTCAATCTTCCTACTAAAAACAATTAAAACTCACTTAAAGAAATAACTGTCTGACAGAAGTCACTGGAGAGCTACCAAAACAGTAAGTAATGACAGAGCCAACAACTAAAGAGGGAGAAAATTTCAGAGATGAGCCTCACAGTTAGATCCAGTTTTCCCAGAAAAATATGATTCTAAATGAGGAAACTTATAGGAAAGAAGTTCCAAAGAGTTTTCAAAAGTACTGATGAGTTCAGAATGACAAAATTATAGCTGAGGACATACAAGGGTAGAGAAGCTCTGCAAACTGTTCTCAGGCATATGATGGTAAACATACTAGGAACAAAAAGAGATCTATATAGTATTGTACTGGCTGGTTTTGTGTGTCAACTTGACACAAGCTAAAGTCATCAGAGGAAGGAGCTCCAGTTATGGAAAGGCCTCCATGAGATCCAGCTGTAAGTCATTTTCTTAATTAGTGATCAATAGGGGAGGGGACAGCCCATGGTGGGTGGTGCTATTCCTGGGGTGGAGGGAGGTCCTGGGTTCTATAAGAAAGCAAGCTGAGCAAGCCATGAAGAGCAAGCCAGTAGCAGCTCCCCTCCATGGCCTCTGCATCAGCACCTGCCTCCAGGATCCTGCCCTGTTTGAGTTCCTGTCCTGACTTCCTCCAATGATGAACTATGATCTGGAAGTATAAGCCAAATATACCCTTTCCTCCTCAACTTGCTTTTTGGTTATATGTAGAATGAATCTTAAAAGTCTTATTAATAAAAACAAACCCAGAGCCAGGTACTGGGATGAATGCTGAAATATCAGAGAAACAGAACAAGCCACAGCCACCTCACCTTGCCAATTCCTCAGCTGATCCTGTTTCCTCAGACTGGAAGCCTGAGTTCTCATCCAAATGAACCTCAGCCAAACTGCTGCTCAAAAGCCCAAAGCTTAACCAGCTCTAGTTCCTGGTTTTCATGCCTTATATACCTTTCTGCTTCCTACCATCACTTCCTGGGATTAAAGATGTGAGTCACCATGCCTGGATGTCTCCAGTGTGGCTTTGAACTCACAGAGATCGAGGCAGATCTCTGCCTTCGGAATACTAGGATTAAAGGCGTGTGTGCCACCATTTTCTGGCCTTTCTATCTAGTGGCTGTTCTGTTCTCCGGCCCCAGGCAAGTTTATTAGGGTACACAATATTTTGGGGAACACAATATCATCACATTTCTCCTCTTTTGTCTAAAATTTTAAAAAAGCTTATAACTAATACAAAAAAAACTATATCCAATAAGTATACACAACATATACAGTCAAGATTACACTACAATGTCTAGTCCATTAACATTTGACAGATTCAGACAAAAAACTCCATTATATACATTAACAATGTCTAGTCCATTATCATTTGACAAATTCAGATAAAAATTTTCATTATTTATCCTATTTAAAACAAGTAGTTCCTTTTTAAAAGTAGATTCAATAATCTCCCTTTTTTATCTTATCATATCCGTACTCTTTTTTCTTTTCATAATAAATTCAACAATCTACATTTTGTCATTTTTATATCTTTGCCTTTTTCTTTTTAGAGTAGATTCAATGAATGATATACCAATTTATCTTATTATCTTTTTTCTCAGAGTAGATTCAATGATCTACCTCATATCTATATTCTTTTTCTTTCTTTTCAAACAAAAACTCTGAATCTAATCTCCTTGTTCAGCTTTTTTTCCTGACCATTAACAATTAACAACTTGTAACCAACCAGCATAAACGATGACAATTATCCATAAGCCATTGATTGACCAAAAAAACACCCATTCCACCTCTTGGGAATGTGGGCATCATTTTCTTAAAATTACTTCCTGCTTTCTGAGGGCAAAGACATCTTTAGGAGATCCTGAAAAGAAAATTTGGGGGTTAATTGTCAAGTCCTGTTATCATTTGTCCAGTTTCTGCATAATGGGAAAGTGCAGGGCTTGTTTCAAGTCCTTGCTTGAGTAGTCTGTGAATCTGGATCATCTCGAAATTGTCCTGAGCAGTTTGTAGTCCAAAACTGATCTTTCCTTGGTGTTAATCAGCTTAATGGCTTTACCATAGTCCATGTGGAATCATCTTTGTGGGGTCCCATCATCTCTTTGAAGATTTCAAAGTTGTTGTTAGGCGTGGTCATGGTTCCCTGCAGATTTTTTGTGTGTGTGCCTCCTCTGTGGTTTGGAGCAATCACAGTCTGATAAATGTCTGTCTCTCGGAACCATGAATGTTCTTCCCTAGAACAGAAAATCTTCACAGCAATTTCTCCCCACCATTTGTCTTGCCAAACTTTTCCAAACTGACCTTTGCCGATGCTTTCTTGTAACATGATGGTCCTGGCAATTCTTCTCTGAACAAGCAGCAGTAAACCCTTCATCCCAGGTAGCAGCATCACCGCAGTCACCAACATGAGAAGGAGCCAGCAACTCGGAGCAGTAGCTGCTGCCTCCATGGTCCCACTGCCACCATTTGTGGCTTGGCCACAGCCACAGCTTCTTTGTAGCAAGCCTCCCAGGCTGGCCTCAAACTCAGGATCCTCCTGCCTCTGCCTTCTTCAGTATATCCAACCAGTGTGCCACCACAACTGGCAACATGTAGCTCGGGTCTGAGCTGGGGCCCACAAGGCCATAGGCAAGTGGCTTTTTCTCAAATTCGTACCATGAACATTGGGCGCCAGATGTAGCATGAATCTTAAAAGTTCTTATTAATAAAAACAAACCTGGAGCTAGGTATTGGGGTGAATGCTGAAATATCAGAGAAACAGAACAAGCCACAGCCACCTCACCTTGCCAATTCCTCAGCTGACCCTGTTTCCTCAGACTGGAAGCCTCTGAGTTCTCATCCAAATGAATCTCAGCTGAACTGCTGCTCAAAGGCCTAAAAGCTCAACCAGCTCTAGTTCCTGGTTTTCATGCCTTATATACCCTTCTACTTCCTACCATCACTTCCTGGGATTAAAGGCGTGAGTCACCATGCCTGGATGTTTCTAGTGTGGCTTTGAACTCACAGAGATCCAGATGGATCTCTGCCTTCGGAGTGCTAGGATTAAAGGTGTGTGCGCCACCATTTTCTAGCCTCTGTGGCTAGTGGCTGTTCTGTTCTCTGACCCCAGATAAGTTTATTAGGGTGCATAATATTTTGAGGAACACAATATCACCACAGTTATAGTATTTCGTCACAGCAATAGAAACCCTAACTAATATAGGGACTAGAAGCCTAAACTTGAATTATCTCAATTCCTAACTAAATACAAAGTTCTACTAGCTAGAATATAGAAAGCCACAAAAACCCTTTCTCTTACTATAGAAAATATTAGGTAATAAAATATAAAAGAAAATATCTTTTAAGTATGACTACAAAAGTAATTTCAAATAAATTATGTTCTAGAAAGGAACAATGAATAGATTATAGGTAGAGAACAGTGATCACTCTTCTCATTTGAGACAGAGAAAGGTAAATGATAGGGCTTTGCCTAAAGCTTAACTTTGCTGGGAGTAAGGAGAAATGAACAGGGCTTGTAATTATGCAGGTGTATGTGATAGACTGAAACATGTAGAAGCCTTAAACAGAATTGATTCAACTCCACAATCAAATTTAAGTCACCCGATGACCAGAGTAGGTCAGTTTGGACTTTCTCTTGACCATTGCCAGTAGTCTATTGTGGAGGTATCTTTGTGGATTTCTGTGGACCTCTCTAGCACTTTGCTTCTTCCTATTCCCATATATCATGGGCGCTCTTTCCTTGTTCTCCCTCTCTGTTCTTGATCCAGCTGGGATCTCCCGATCCCCTAAGCTCTCTTTCCCTCAACTGTTGCCCTTCATTACCTCCCCTCACGTCCAATTTGCTCATGTAGATTTCATCCATTTCTCTGTT